CACAGCTTGATGACACCATCAACATGCACTATCACGGTAGAGCGGTATAGTCAAAATCTCTACCGTTTACCCAATTTAAATCGTTTCTACCGTATACTGTTTATACCGCCCACTCCTACAATAAAACTCATTCTGCTTTGTGGACATAAACACATCTGACATCACTTCCTCTTTGTTTTTGATGCAGCATTTGGATCAAATTAGAGCTGCATGAAAAACAATGAAACAGCTTCTAAAAGTTTGACATCAAAGAAAATCACTAAATTGCAGCAGATTCTTCACCAGGACCCTTTGTAATAGTTTTCATATTTTATACAAACAAAAGTGATACACAACATATACGGTGCTATACATACATATTTTCATATTTCTAAAAATTTCATAACCAAGCTGTTACCAACATCCTGCACCATGTTCTTGTACAACATGGAAAAAAAAACAAGACAAGTTTCAAATGAGGATTGAAGCCTTTAGTGTTTATTAGATAAGCCACATGCATTCTGATCCCTCCATTCCAAGGAAAAATCCCATTAAGAAAGAGAAATCAAACATTTGGATTCATTTTAATGAGCTCAGACTTGTTGAAAATGCAGAGGAGCTGGTTGTGAACTGAGCTTCAGAGAAACACAACATACTGATATTCACTGTGAAGCTTTGAGTGGAAAAAGACAGAAAAACAACATGTAGATCCTGGAATAATGGGAGCTTCAGTCTTTAAAGGACTGAAGAGGAAGATGTTTACAAGGAATCGTTTAGAACCGTTTCAAACATCAACTGATTGAATACATGAATCTGAAAATCTATTTCTGAGTGAAAGAGACAGACATGTACAGACTGAACTATCTGTTCAACAGTCAGAGTGGTTTTCTAACAGGAGACACTCTTTACACTCAACTCAGCACAGGGACACTGAAGAACCAGGATAGAAATAAAACCCAGGATAAAGAGTTTGAGTGAATGTGGTGTTGAAGGTGTGGAGGTGGATCAGAGTGTCAGAGGAGACTCTGTAGAACGACAGAGTGCCAGCAGGACAGTCCACATACACTGCGACTCTGTTAGAGACAGAGGAGGAGGAGGAGGAGGAGGAGATGTATGTTTCTCTGTTACTGTGCCAGACACGAAGAGGACAACCATCAGAGCAGTACAGACTCCAGGACTGATCATTGTGTCCAAACATACAGTCATCACAGCGTCCTTTCCTTCTGATGCTTCTGTAACTCACTGATATATAAACATCTCCTCTCCACTCGACCTCCCAGTAACAGCGACCAGTCAGACCATTTCTACACAGCAGCTGAGGCCAAACATCAAATCTGTCTGGATGATCAGGATATGACTGAACCTTCCTCACACGTGTCACCCTCCTGTTGTTGTCAGACAGTTGGAGGTTTGTGTTCACTGTGTTTGTGTCGATTGTGAGTTGACAGGAATCTGATGGAGAGAACAAACACAATCCAGCTGCAGTTATTGATCCATCATCTGTTCATTGATTGACACTT